TCTCTTTTTCTCTGTATCTCTGTTTTTTTCCTTTCTTCCCTATCTTTCTTTTTTTTTTTTCTCTTTTCCCTCTGTTGCTTTCTCCTTTCTTTCCTTCGCTTTCTGTTTTTTTTTTCTTTTTCTTCCTTCTTCTTTTTTCCCCCCCCCTCTCTCTCTTTTATTCCTTTCCTGACTCTTTCTCCGCCTTCCTTACCCTTTCTACCTGTCTGGCACTCTCGCGTTTTTTGTCTCTCTATCTGCATCTCTCTCTCTCTCTTCCTATCTACGTAAAACAGAAACAGAAACAGAAACAAAAACAAAAACAAAAAATAAAAAAATAGAAAGAGAAAAAGGAAGAAGAAAACAACAACAAAAACAATGAAAATAAGAAAAAAGAAGAAAAAGAAAAAAAAAAAAAAAAAAATGTCTCTCTCCAGCATATATATTCCTAGTCATTAATTTTCCTCATACTATTTCCCTCAATTTCTCTCACCCTCAAAGTGTCTTCTCTTTCTCCGCGTCGGCACTCAGGGCGGCAGACTTCAAGGGTGGGGGAGGGGAGGGGATGGGGGGGGAGAAGGTGGTTGGGGGGTTGGGGAGGAGGAGGGGAGAAGGGGGGGTTGGGGAGGGGATGGGGCAGAGGGGAGGGGGAAGGTGGATGGGTGGGTTGGGGAGGAGGGAGGGGGCAGGGGGGTTTGGGAGGGGGAAGGGGGCGGATAGGGTGGATGGGGGGTGGGGGAGGTGGATGGGTAGGTGGGTTTGGGGAGGGGGCAGAAGGGGGAGGGAAAGGGGAATGGGGGCAAGGGGCAGAGGTGGATGGGGAGAGCCGATGGGGCAGGGGGAAGAGGTGGAAGGGGAGGGGGCAGTGGTGTGAAGGGGATGGAGGCAGGGGAGGAGGCCAGGGTGAAGGGTGAGAGTGGATGGGGATAAGGAAGGGGGGATGGGGCAGGGGCAAGGGGAGGGGAGAGGGATAGGGGGGGGGGCGGTGGAGCAGAGGGGGATGGAGGCGGAGGAGAGGGAGGGGAGTAGAAGATGGGTGGGCTGGATGGGGAAAGATGGGGGAGGGGGAGGGGGGAAGGATAATATATATATTTTCGGGAGTCTGTGAGTTAGTGTTCCCGCATATATTATGAAGCCGAGTGCCACAGCGAGTAAGAAAAGGTATTTTTAGGATGCTGTTGATATATGCTAGTTAGCCTTGTTGGTTTCAGGAGTAGCATTGCTGGCGTTGTCATTAGCATCATGATTTTTATGGCTATTATCACTATTATTATGATGATCATCCTTTTCTCTCCTCATCCTCCTTATCATCATCATGCCTCTCTCTTCTCTTCTCTTTCTCTCTCTCTCTCTCTCTTCTATACCTCTGTTCTCCTCTCTCTTACTTCCCTCCTCTCTCTCTCTCTCCTCTCTCCTTACTCTCTCTCTCTCTCTCTCTCCCTCTCTCTCTAATTCTCTCTCTCTCTCTCTCGCTCTCTCTCTCTCTCTCTCTTCTCGTTCTTCTCTCTCTCTCTCTCTCTCTCTCTCTCTCTCTCTCTCTCTCTCTCTCTCTCTCTCTCTCTCTCTCTTCTCTCTCTCTCTCTCTCTCTCTCTCTTTCTCTCTCCCCCTCTCTCTCTCTTTCTCTCTCACACTCTCTCACTATCCCATTATCATCATTACAATCCCTATCGTCATTATCATCATAATCCCATTTTCTCATTATCTTTGTTAGTAATTTTACCTCGAATCCGTTTTACGAATAAAGTGTACGGTTGGATGCCTAATTTTGAGGACGCATTATCATCTCTTTTCCATTTGATGACTGCACCTGACAATAATCCCCATCTATCTTATCTTTCTGGTACTCTGACATATCCCATGCAAGAATATCTATTCTATCTATCTTCTATCTGCATCTGTACCTATCTCTATATGTATCTATGTCTATCTATCTATCTGCATCTGTACCTATCTCTATATGTATGTCTATCTGTCTATTTATCTGTACCTATCTCTATATGTATCTATGTCTATCTGTCTATTTATCTGTACCTATCTCTATATGTATCTATGTCTATCTGTCTATTTATCTGTGCTTATCTCTTATATGTCTATCTGTCTGTCTATCTATCTTTATCTATCTATTTATGTTTGTGTGTTTGTGTTTGTGAATTGATTTGGTTGTGTGTGTGTGTGCTGTGTGTTGTTTGTGGTGTGTGTGTGTTAGGAAAACAGGCTCAACAGTATTCATATTTCCTCTTAATCTGTTATCTTCTGCTACCATCATTCAACTATAAGCAAAAATCGAGAAAATGGAAAAAAAATAAAATAAAAGTAATAACAATAAAGCATTGTGAAAACAATGCATATCAGGCAAAAAAAAAAAAAAAAAAAAAAAAAAAGAAGAAAAAAAATCTTTTGAAAATGTTCTACAAATATTTGCCATTAGAGTCAGTTCACATATTCACTAAACATTACAGCAAGGTCATAATAGTAATAAAAGAATAAAAATGAAAACAAATCCTCATTAAGCGGGAATGT